CGGAGGATGATGCGTTGGATCCGGAGGTTGGTGGGGTGGTACCTGAGGACGAGGGGGATTCTTTTTTGGTTTTTATTGCGTGGACGGGGTGTGAGGGATGAGGTGCGGGAGATGTGGGAGACACGGTTGAGGGCGTTCTCGACCACCGAGGAGGGGAAGTTACGGTCCTTGAAAAACGAGGACAACTGAGATGTACGGGAGTGGAATGCCTCATCCTGGGAGCAGATGCGGCGGAGGCGAAGGAATTGGGAATAGGGGATAGCATTTTTGCAGGAAGGTGGGTGGGAGGAGGAGTATTCTAGGAAGCTGTGGGAGTCGGTGGGCTTGAAATGAATATCGGTTTCCAGGTGGTTGCCCGATATGGAGACAGAGAGGTCCAGGAAGGGGAGAGAGGTGTTAGAGATGGTCCAGGTAAACTTAAGGTTGGGGTGGAAGGTGTTAGTGAAGTGTATGAACTGTTCGAGCTCCTCGTGGGAGCACGAGGCGGCGCCGATACAGTCATCAATGTAACGGAGGAAGAGGTGGGGTTTAGGGCCGGTGTAGGTACGGAAGAGGGATTGTTCCACTTAACCTACAAAGAGGCAGGCGTAGCTTGGGCCCATGCGGGTACCCATGGCTACCCCCTTTGTCTGTAGGAAGTGGGAGGAATTGAAAGAGAAGTTGTTGAGTGTGAGGACGAGTTCGGCTAAGCGGATGAGGGTACCACACCCAGCACTTTTTCCTGAAACCACAGGAAGTGCTACAACTGCCCCCATACCTCCTCCCTCACCCCCATCCCAGGCCCCAAGAAGACTTTCCACATTAAGCAGATGTTCACCTGCACATCTGCCAATGTGGTATACTGCATCCGCTGTACCCGGTGTGGCTTCCTCTACATCGGGGAAAGCAAGCGGAGACTCGGGGACCGCTTTGCAGAACACCTACGCTCGGTTCGCAACAAACAACTGCACCTCCCAGTCGCGAAGCATTTCAACTCCCCCTCCCATTCCTCAGACGACATGTCCATCCTGGGCCTCCTGCAGTGCCACAACGATGCCACCCGAAGGTTGCAGGAACAGCAACTCATATTCCGCTTGGGAACCCTGCAGCCCAATGGTATCAATGTGGATTTCACAAGTTTCAAAATCTCCCCTCCCCCTACCGCATCCCAAAACCAGTCCAGCTCGTCCCTGCCTCCCTAACCTGTTCTTCCTCCCACCTATCCCCTCCTCCCACCTCAAGCCGCACCTCCATCTCCTACCGACCAACCTCATCCCGCCCCCTTGACCTGTCCGTCCTCCCTGGACTGACCTATCCCCTTCCTAACTCCCCACCTACACTCACCTTTACTGGCTCCATCCCTGCCTCTTCGACCTGTTTGTTTCCTCTCCACCTATCCTCTCCTCTATCCTCTTCTATCCGCCTCCCACTCTCTCCCTATTTATTTCACAACCCACTTCCCCTCCCCCTTTTCTGATGAAGGGTCTAGGCCCGAAACGTCAGCCTTTCTGCTCCTATGATGCTGCTTGGCCTGCTGTGTTCATCCAGCCCTGCACCTTGTTGTCTCGGATTCTCCAGCATCTGCAGTTCCTACTATCTCTTACACTATTACAGACATGTTTTTAAGAGTTGCGTTTCCTTTCTCGAAGTAAAATAGACTTTTAGCTAGTTTATGTAAACAAGTCCTTCCCTACCCAGCATCCACAGTAATCTCCTTTTACTAAAGGATGGATGACCTCCTTCTGGTGGAATTTTACAACAATCAGTAGTGGTTACACAGCTGCCACTAGACTAATTTTTCATTCCAGATTTGTTTCTTTTCATCGAAATCAAATTTCACCATCTGCCATGGTGGGATTCAAACCCACAACGCAGTGCATGAGCCTGGGGTTCTAGATTATTCATGCAACAACATTACCACTACTGCTGTAAAGATGAGTTACAGGGTTTTGACCAAGCAACAAAGGAACAGCAAGCTCCGAATCAGTATGGTGGGTTTGAAGATAGCTTGGGAGGTGGTACTTTTCCTGTACATCCATTTCCCTTTCAGGTGGTAGGCTGCAGGTTTGAAAGATACATTTGTTTTAATTTGTTCAACTGCTCTGGACAATCTTAGAGCTGCTTTCTTGAGCCACTGTAGTCTCTGTGGTGTAGGGAGCCCCACCATATGATTAGGAAAGTTGTTTCAGGATTCTGAAACCGTAACAATGAAAGAATGGCAATACAGTTCCAAGTCAAGATGGTGTGCACCTGGACAGGAACATGCAGGTGGTGGTGGTCCCATGGGGTTAGATTGCAACAAGTTTGTTTTTTTGGTTTGGTTTTACCTGTGCATTTTCTCAGAGAAAACAGCTTTGAGAAGAAGTGAGAGCAATCAGTCAGGAGCTGTGTACCAGAAGCGAAGGGTTATCAGACATCGAGGCTGTCTTATGACATTGAGTAACTTTGCAAAAAAGTGAGGCCTGTGCTGGAGCTGAGGTGGTCTCAAATGTGAGGCACTTCAGTACAGCTGAAGGATCCCCTAGCTGGATTCTAGTGGAAGGACTCCAAATAAATCTCGTCCCTTGGAAAATAGCAGGAATCTCTAAAAGAAACAGAGAACTTGAGAGTTATGATACTTTATAAAATTCACTTTGTGGGATTTGGGCGACACTGACTGGCCAGCATTTCTTGCCCATCCCTGGTTGCCCTTGAGAAGATAGTGGTGAGCTGCCTTCTTGAACCGCTGCATTCCTCCTGCTGTGGGTTGACCCACAATGCTATTAGGGAGGGAATTCCAGGATTTTGACCCAGCGTCAGTAAAAGAACGGCGATATATTTCCACGTCAGGTCGGTGAGTGACTTGGAGGAGAACTTGCAGCTGATGATGTTCCTATATTCTCTTCTGCCCTGGTCTTTCTAAATGAAAATGGTCGCGGGCTTGGAAGGTGCTGTCTGAAGATTTTTGATGAATTTCTGCAGCGCATCTTATAAATAGTAAACACTGCTGCTGCTGTTGTTGAGTGTTGGTGGTAGATGTTTGTGATGAATTGGTAGATGGATGTTTGTGAATGTCATGCCAGTCAAGTGGACTGCTTTTTCATTGGATTGTATCAAGCTTCTCGAGTATCGTTGGAGCTGCACCCATACAGGAAGTGGGGAGTATTCCATTATATGTCTGTTTTGCGCCTTGTAGATGATGAATAGGCTTTGGGGAGTCAGCAAGTGATTTCCTCACCGCAGTTTCCTAGCCTCTGACCTGCTTTTGTAGTCGTGTTTGTGGTGAGTCCAGTTAAGTTTCTGGTCAATAGTGACCTTCAGAATTTCAATAGTGGGACATTCAGTGATGGTAACATCATTGAATGTCAAGGGGCGGTGATTAGGTGGTCTTTTATTGGCCATGTCATAGCCCGGCATTTATGTGGCACAAACAGCACTTGCTACTTGTCAGCCCATGCCTGCATATTGTCGAGATCTTGTTGTATTTGTAAATGGACTGCTTCAGTGTATGAAGAGTTGTGAACAGTGCCAAACATTAAGTAATCATCAGTGAACATCTTACTGTCCTTATGATGGAGGGAAAGTCATGGATGAAGCAGCTTAAGATGGTTGGACCTAGGCACTATCCTGAGGATCTCCTGCAAAGATGTCCTGGAGCTGAGATGACTGACGACTGACGACCAACAACCAGAACCATCTTCCTATATGCTGGATATGACTACAACCAGCGGACAGTATGGCCCGATAGCCACCGATTCCAGTATTGCTTGGGCTCCTTGATGCCTCACTCGGTCAAAAACAGCCTTGATGTCAAGGGCTGTCACTCTTACCTCAACTCTGGAATTCAGCTCTTTTGTCCATGTTTTAACCAAGACTGGAATGAGGTCAGGAGCAGAGTAGCCCTGGTAGTACCCAAACTGGGCATCACTAACCAGGTAATTGCTGAGGAGTTACTGCCTGATAGCTCTATTGATGACACCTATCATCACTTGACTGATGATTGAGAGTATACTGATGGGCCGGTAATTGGCTGGGTTGGATTTGTCCTGTTTTTCTTATTTACAGGATATACCTGGGTAATCTTCCACAGTATCAATAGATGTCAGTGTTGTAACTATACTGGACGAGTTTGGTTCGGAGAGGGGCTGTTCTGAAGCACAAATCTTCAGTACTATTGCCAGATTGATGTCAGCGTCCATAGTCTTTGCAGTATCCAGTGTTTTCAACCATTTCTTGATAGCACGTGGAGAGAATCGAATTGGCTGAAGACTGGTATCTGTAATGCAGGGGACTAATGGAGGAGACCGAGGTGGATCATCCACTCGGCATTTCTGGCTGAAGATTACTGTGAATGCTTCAGCCTTATCTTTTGCACTGATGTGCTGGGCTCTTCCATCATGGAGGATGGGGATATTGCAGAGCCTCCTCCTCCAGTGAGCTGTTTAATCATCGATCACCATTCATGACTGGTTGCGGCAGGACTGCAGAGTTTAGATCTGTTCTGTTGGTTGTGGGATTGCTTATGCTGTTTACCATGTAGGTAGTCCTGCTTGATAGCTTCAACAGGTTGACATCTCATTTTCAAGTGAAGATGGCTTGGAGGTAATAGTTGGTGGGGGATATGTTGGGCCAGGAGGTTGCAGATTGTGGTGGAATAAAATTCTGCTCCTGTTGATGGCCCACAGCGCCTCAGGAACGTCCAGTCTTGAATTGCTAGATCTATTTAAAAGTCTGTCCCATTTAGCACTGTGACAGTGTCATAAAACATGATGGAGATTATTCTCAATATGTAGGCGGAACATTGTCTCCACAAGACAGTGCGGTGGTCACTCTTATTGATAAAATCATGGACAGATGCATCTGCAGTTTTTGCCTCTTGTTGGTTCCCTCACCATTTGCTGTAGACCCAATCTAGCAGCTCTGTCCTTTAGGAACCAACCAGCTCGATCAGTAGTACTGCTGCCAAGCCACTCTTGGTGGTGGACACTGAAATTTCCCACCTTTGTGCCCTTGCCATCCTCAATGCTTCCTCAAAGTGTTGTTCAACACGGAGAGTTCCAGGTTAACTTCAAACATTATATTTCATTTTTATTTTTGTAGCTGTGGTTATCACTAGTTAAAAATTCTATGCTACAACTCTGCTCATTTAATTCTATAATGCATCAATACTCTTCCCATAGGAATTTGCCAAGCAAAATAAGGATTACATGGAAAAACAATTCAAATGTATGCACTGAGCATTTTGTATCTTACCTGAAGCTGATTCCACATGTTCTCCATTTACTTTCAGTGGTGTCAACACAACTCTTGGAATAGATTTGCTCATCATCACCGGAACTCCAATCTTCTTTTTTGGCTGTTGCTTTACAGGCTGTTTACATGTCATATATATAAAAAAATTAGCATAAAATTTTAAATACAAAGTTCTAAGAAGTATCTTGATTTGAGACTGTGAAAGGCACAATGTCTCAAAAGGAGTTGTACAGGCAACAAAGCATGCTCACTGTTAAAATGTAAGGACCGACAGCCAATTTATAATAAATCATAACTGAACAGACATTAAACAGATGAGTAGACAAAGTGTTTTAGAAGAGGGATGAATGTTAATCAGGACACTGGGTTAACTCTTTCTGAATAGTGTCACAGAATCTCTTACAGTCAAAGGTAAGGCCTTGATTTAACGTTTCATCTTAAAGTATTCTCTCAGTGTTGCATGAATGAGTCAGTCGATGGTATACACTGAAGTGGTCCGGAGTGGCTTTTGCATATTCTATGCTGACTCAGAGGCAAGAATGCAATCACTGAACCAAGTAAGCCAAAACTAAGTCTCACAACTCTGCTCATTAGATCTCCAACTTGCAACTTTAGCATGCATGGTAGCATAATGAGGACTCCAGACCAAAGTGGAGGGAGATTCTCTTTACTGGTCAGTCTCATTTCACTAATGTATCAGGACAAGCAGGATATGACTTCAGATCTGTTGTTTGCATTAATGTTGCAGTGTTAATAGCAAGGGCATCCATGTTCCATTATTGATCTACCTATGCTATTGCTAGATTTTACTGCATTTCCCATAGGAACAGGAGTAGGCCATTCAGTCGCTTGAGCCTATTCCACTGTTCAATGAGATCATGGCTGACCTGCAGTCTAACTCCATATACATGCCTTTGGTGCATTTGCCTTAATACTTTTGCTTAGCAAAAATTTATCTAGCTCAGAATTAAAATTAACCACTGATCTCGCATCAGCTGTCATTTGTGGAAGAGAATTCCCAACCTCTACCACCGTTTGTGTGGTAGAAGTGCTTCCTCACATCTCTCCTGGATTACGTTGCCCTAATCTTTACTCAGAGACTAGTAAGGGCGTGGAATGCCCTGCCTGCAAAAATAGTAGACTCGCCCACTTTAAGGGCATTTAAATGGTCATTGGATAAACATATGGATGATAATGGAATAGTTTAGGTTAGATGGGCTTCAGATTGGTTTCACAGGTCGGCGCAACATCGAGGGCCGAAGGGCCTGTACTGCGCTGTAATGTTCTATGTTCTATGTAATTTTTCAACTATATTCCCTACTTCGACAAATCGCCAACCAGTGAGACAAAGTGGAACAAAACAAAGGTTTGTCTAAAAAGTGAAAATAAGCACACTAAGAACAAAATCTAATAACCACACATGCATGCATGCTGCACCAATGGAAAAAAAAATCAACAATTTCCCTCATTACACAAAGTAAAAAAGGAGTTGACAATCATGTGTTACATGCAACCCAAGACCTGGCTACCTGAAGTTCACAGCTCATGCAACATCCCTCCATTTGAAATCACATTTCATTTTCACTATGTTGCCAGATTTAAACTTATGCGCTGGAGACTTGCAGAAGATCTCTCTCCCTGGGAAAATTCCCCTTCCAATAACACTGATTAAACCTTAGCAACATGGAACAATGTCCACAAAGACAAAGAGGTTCAACATCTCAAAACAAAAAAAAAATAATCAGCATTTTCAAATATCTTTAATAATAGTCAACAGTCTCATACTAGCCTCAATTACAGGTCTGGTCATGAAAAGATGGAACTACAAGTGGAGAACTCGATTTCTTGCCTCACCTACAGCCAGCTGAGTAATGAAATAACGCAACTGCAAGTGCTACACTTACACCATCAACTTTTCATGTAAACAAATTGTGAAAACATAGGGTTTTCATAAGACGATTCAGTTCATCCATTGATCCAAAGATGAACGGAAATATGAATTAATCCTTTGGTTTTTTTTACAGCAACTGGTTGGAAGTATGCTGCTTTTGCAGTATAGTTTCAACAACTGAAGAATTATTCCAAATAACTGACGGAACCAAGATGAATTAGAACTAATTGTGTGCGTTTTATTGAAACGAGAGAATAAGGAAAGCTTCTGTCAATATATTAACAGAAAATGCTAGTAACACTCAACAGGTGTAATTGCATTTGTCGTGAGAGAAACAAAGTTAACACTTCAGATCTGTGACTTGTCATCTGAGCTGGGCAAAAATCACACAAACAGCTTTCCTCAAGTTAAGGGGCAGGGGTCGGGGTGGGCGGAGTGGGGGGGGGGGGGGAAGAGCGTAGAAGGACAGGCAAAACAACCAGAAGACTAGGTCCATAAAATGACAGAGAGGAGAAATTCAAATGACAAAAGGGTATAAAAAGGGGCAAGAGAGGACATCCAAGAAAGGATGTGTGTGTGCAGGCTTTTCTAAAGTTATACAAATCACTAAAAATCTACATAGAGGCCAATATTTCAAACATAGCTCCCTGAAAGTTACTTGGTCATTTCCTTCCCATTTATCTGTGGAATTTGGTTGTACATAAAATGGCTTGTAAAAATCAATTTTCAGTATGTGGAATATCACTGACAGGCACAACTGGCTGCCTATCAGTAACTGGCTTTAAAATGTTCATGGTATAACTCAGTGGTTTGCAAAATCACTTTTGGCAGGCAGGTGGGCAAGAGAGCTCAATTTCTAATTCATCTTGGTGGAGCGTCATTAGCACATAAGCACCAGACAATATCATCAATTCAGCCTCAAGACTGCTCCACCATTCAATACAATCATAGCTGATCTCATCACAGCTTCAATTCCACTTTCCTGCCCACTCCTCATAAACCTTCCACTTGTTCCTAATTAAAAATCTGGCTATGTGCTCCTTAAATTTACTCAGTGTCCTGGCATCCACCACACTCGAGTTAGCGACTTCCACAGATTCACAACCCTTTGGCAGAATTAAATTTTTCCTCATTTCTGTTTTAAAAATCTACTATTCCTTATCCTAGAATTATAACTTCTCATTCTGGGTTGCCCCACAAGAGGAAACATCCTCACTACACCTACTTGGTCAAGGACAAAAACAAAGTTGCTGGAAAAGCTCAGCAGGTCTCGCAGCATCTGTTTTTTCTTTCACAGAGTTAATGTTTCGGGTCCGGTGACCCTTAGAACTGATGAAGGGTCAGTGGACCCGAAACGTTAACTCTGTTTTTTCCTTCACAGATTCTGTTAGACCTGCTGAGCTTTTCCAGCAACTTTGTTTTTGTTCCTGATTTACAGCATCCGCAGTTCTTTCAGTTTCTACTTTGTCAAGCCTTTTAGCATCCTATTGTCATCGGCAGTCACTCACTACCAAGTATAATTGTCCACCTATCATCTTATGTACTTCGGTTAGATCTCCTCTCCTGGATCAGATCAGAAAAGGAAGATGCAGTTCTTACCTTGGAGAGCCAAGCAAGTGATCAATTCTTTTTGATCAAAAATCCAATTTGGAAACTTTATCACTTTGATACCTGTTTACTTTGTTTTTTTTTAAAATATCTGAGCAAGATTACTCATCCAAGATTCTGGCTGCCACATTTGGCAGCACAGCGTTTGCAGGTAAGCATTAGGAACTCTGCCTAATTGCCTTGTGCCAATGATTATGTTTCATGTTATATAATGAATAACCAGAAAATACACTTTATCAGGCTACATCATACTTGGGTGAGTTGGCAACAGACTAGGAAAGATGACAACTTGAGGAATAAAGATGTTAGTTGTTCTGTCCTTGACTACTGGACTTAATCTACTAGGTAACTGGATATATATCTCCCCAGTCAGAGGCAACAGTTGGAAACTTATGATTGCTATACATCAATGTAGATAAAAACACAGTAAAAAATATGTAAAGATGCTGTTTTGTACCTAGAACAATTCCAAACAACTTAGGATAGATTTTGTTACATGCAACATGAAAGGGCAGGCAAGTGTGACCAGAGTGCCAATACAAACAACTTGCAATATGACCTGTGTTGCAACTAATCCACAATTTACTTAATTTTTCCAATTAGAAGCCTAACCAAATAGTTCTAACTGGAAAGATGCATGAAACTAACAGCTAATTTTTTTTTAAATTTATGACGGAATATCCAGAAAAAATACTTAAGACAATCATTGCATCTTACTGCAAATGTTTCGACAAATAACTTCAGGATGTCCAAATACACGATATTAAGAAAGCTAGATTCTTCTATCGTAAATGTGCAAAATCTATAGGCATAATCTCTTTCCAAAACCTAATAGACATGTTGACTTTAATGAGTAAATTACCCCACTAAATGATACTTCATATGAAGTAGATTTACAATTTAGAGCAACTACATTAACATTCAATCAATTTATGCGTAACCAATTTTGCAGCAAATCTATGTATCAGCAGTGTTTAATATTTGTTTTTTTTTAAATTTTCTAATTAACCTGTTAAGAGATATTATTACGCATGGGGAGGGGAGGTGATGGCCTAGTGGTGTTGTCACTGGACTGTTAACTCAGAGACCCAGATAATATTCTGGGGACCCGGGTTCAAATCCCACCACAGTAGATGGTAGGATCTGAATTCAATAAAAAATCTGGAATTAAGAAGGTAATGATGACCATATATCCAGGGAAAAAAACCCATCTGGTTCACTAATATCCTTTAGGGAAGTAAACTACCATTCTTACCTGGTCTGGCCTACATGCTCCAGAACCACAGCAATATGGTTGACTCTTAACTGCCCTGCTGGCAATTAGGGATGCACAATAAATACTGCCTTGCTACCAATGCTCTCATCCCATGAATGAATGAAGAAAGAAAAAAAAAACCTCTGAAGAAGGTGGGACTTGAACTTGGGCCTCCTGGATCACAGGTAGTGCATAATACTTAAATCTTGGAAAAATTAACATCCCTCATTTTTGAACCAATAGAAAACAATTGATCAACTTAGTGCCCTATTCCAATAATTTTACTGTTCAAGACAGTGCTAGAACCAAGTCCTGAAATTCTTCATCTAACAACATGGGAAAGCAATTTCGACCTTACACTGTAGTGGTTCAAGACACTTGTTCTCAAAGCAACCTAAGAATAAGCAATAAATGTTGGCCTTTCCAACAATGCTCACATCAAGTATGAATTAATTTTTTAAAAAATGTATCTTCTGTTACAACCTGCAATCACTATTGCCTATGGATTATAGTATAAAGCAATCCAAGGTATATTTCAGTGTAATGACCAAGCCAATGTTCCCTCTAAGCTGTGTGGCTGTGAGGTCTTGTGCATTCTGATCAGCATGCCAGCGCATGCAAGTTCACATGTGGAGGTTGCTGTCTTGCACAGATCTCAGAGATCCACACAGCAAAAATAAATTAGAGGGAAACATAGATGGCAACCCTGACATTCATGGGTGAAGACAAACATTTCATAATTTTTCATTTATATTTACGTTCTTTTATTTACAACTGTGGAGCATCTTTAATTAGATGGTAATCCAGTTGAATAATATGCATGTTAAATATTATCCAAGAATAAAATAATCCCTTAGGACGAAAAATTCAAGAAAGTACCTGTAAGCTTGTGGAGTTCTACATTTGGAAAAACAATAAATCAACTTCATAGTTATTTGACACAAAAACAGAGGCCAGCTCTTCAGTTACTGTCATAGCCCTTTTAGATGCAGGGCAGCTATGTACCAATTGTACATACTACTAAAATGTAATACTGTTAAAGAAACATGACTCTGGGGATGAAACCAGAAAGATCAGTGCCAGATTACTAAAAAATGGAAATGTAATCATTCATCAACAGATTTTACATTGAAAAAACAGCAGATACTACTATCTGAAAAGGTTTTAAGTAAGAACAGAGTTTGAACACTTCCGAAAACAAATTGCTCAAGAACAGTTTCAACTGCATTACAATTTGTCTCACGGCCTCTCTTACCTGCTGAGTTGCTTTGTGGCTGTTCTGTTTGCCAGGGGACACTTGTTTGCCTTGATTATCAGTGGAACATGATGCATTTGAGGAACTCTCATCAGACACCGGTGATGCTAATTATGGAGTGAAAAATTAAGTGCTTAGACTGCTACCCTCCTTTTGTTCTTCATACATTCTGCATTTCACTAGTAACGGCATTAGCACTCGTGGATGCAATTATAATTCAAAGCAATTTATTCCACATTGTTTTAAAACCTAATTCAGCTTTCTTTGCTTCTTTGCTCCTTTGCATGAAAAATCTATTGCGGATGAATTTTAAGCAATTTGATAATTCACAAAGATGCATTCTTTAGTGTAAAAATTCTAACTCCTCTGTAGGTTCAGAAAGCCTCCAGAAATGCACCAACTTTTTATGTCTTGTATATTTTTATTTCTCTTTCAGGCTTTTGAGCTTCAATCACTCTTCAGCACAAGTTGAAGACCACCAGGTAAATCCACTGTTCAAATGATAAAACCAGCTCACAGTCCTATTATCTCATAACCCTGTAATGCATTCCCTTAAAAAGGTTAAATGGTTCCCATCTCAGCCTCTTCCGGCAAAGTTTTCCAAGTTCCAACAACCTCATTACAACTGAATTTCTTCTGACTGCTTCTCTTGATCCCCTTATGGTAACCTTCCAACTGAAGACACCTTGTGGACTACACAGCAGAAAAACTCATTTCAAGTTATGCAATTAGTCGGACGTAATTACTGTTTTGAGCATTTATAGCCTTAAACAAAACGTCTACGAATTTCACATGTTAACCGTCACATACCATCATTTTCCTCACCCGTGGTACTGGTTTCATTAGAGTCACAGCTTTCCAAGTCAGGTCCATCATCATAACCTTCAACATCACCAATGGGCACGTTTTTGGACCATAACAATGCATCTTTCTGAATGAATACAATTTTTTTTTAAAAAAAACAATTATTCACTGAAAAACAAACAATCAAGCTATAAATTATTGAAGATGGAAATTAGCAAAATGCTGCATTAAAAAAAGGTTAGTTATTCCCAAAAGGTTTACTTCTAATGTTATATCAGCAGAAAAAGCGTAACTGCTTTGAATAGCACAGCAAAGTGTTTAAAATGAACATGTATCCATTATTTCTGTAATAAGAATGAAACGTACACATTTCAGACAATTTCTTAAAAATTCCATACATGAATAAAAAGAAAGTGAAAGATGGCAGTATGACACCTTATATTTCCTTCCACTTCTGAACCATTAGGTTCATACAAAAGCAATATCTCCTTGTAATTTTGGCTGCATTTCTGAAGCAATATACAAATTAAAGACTCAAAATTTTCTTTATACACAGCAAAATAAACAGTACAAAAAGGTACCCAGGCAGCTCTTGTAAGATGGTTAGTTACACAGATCGAACGGTAACCTGCTGCCTGATTACATCTCAACCAAGCAATGGTTTTGGAGAGGGAGGGAAGGTAGTACAGATACGAGTCACATTAGCATCAGAAGGAAGTCCTCTATTTGTACTCGCACATTCAATATGTTAAACCCTAAGCAGTGTATTGTTCTGAAAATAAGACATCTCTTGCCAGACATATTTAATATTGTTAAAAAGCTGATTGATTTGCTCCCCCTCAAAACAATGTTTGAGATCCACTCAAGTTACAGAACTAAAGAAGTTACGCATCTATCACATATTTATAAAGAAAATCTTGTAAAACTTCTAAATGTTTACCATTCTAATTACACAAGATATTCAATTTTATTCATGCAAGCAATATCAAGTATTCTTTATTATGTAATGACAAAATAAAAACAATTCTGTGGATACTTGTAATTTAAAAAGGAAAAATGAATATTTTGGATTAGGCAGCATCAGCAAAGGGAAAATCAGAGTTAAATGTTGCAAATCAGTGACCCTTCAACAAAGTACTCAGTGGACAGATACAAGAATGCCATGTTGCAAGAATGAAACCTAAATGCAACTCTTCAATAATAGAGCTGGATGAACACAGCAGGCCAAGCAGCATCAGAGGAGCAGGAAGGCTGACGTTTCAGGCCTGGACCCTTCATCAGAAATGGGGGAGGGGAAGGGGTTCTGAAATAAATAGGGAGAGAGGGGGAGGCGGATAGAGGATGGATACAGGAGAAGATAGGTGGAGAGGAGACAGACAGGTCAAAGAGGCAGGGATGGAGCCAGTAAAGGTGAGTGTAGGTGGGGAGGTAGGGAGTAGATAGGTCAGTCCAGGGAGGACGGACAGGTCAAGGGGGCAGGATGAGGTTAGTAGGTAGGAGATGGGGGTGGGGCTTCAGGTGGGAGGAGGGGATAGGTGGGAGGAAGGACAGGTTAGGGAGGCAGGGATGAGCTGGGCTGGTTTTGGGATGCGGTAGGGGGAGGGGAGATTTTGAAGCTTGTGAAATCCACATTGATACCATTGGGCTGCAGGGTTCCCAAGCAGAATGAGAGTTGCTGTTCCTGCAACCTTCGGGTGGCATCGTTGTGGCACTGCAGGAGGCCCAGGATGGACATGTCGTCTGAGGAATGGGAGGGGGAGTTGAAATGGTTCGCAACTGGGAGGTGCAGTTGTTTAGTGCGAACCGAGCGCAGGTGTTCTGCAAAACGGTCCCCAAGCCCTGCAACTCTTCAAAACAGGTACAGCATTGATTTGAAATCACCAGAGATGCAGTGCTGATATTTTGTGGCATAACTGCAAAATTGTGAAGTCATTGTAGTTTCAGAAGACTACTAATCTGTCTAGAAAACAAGATCCAATCTAGCCACAAAGCACATAAATAAAGGCAAAGCTAAATAGTGAACAATGGTAAGAAATTTACTACGATATTATATGCTCAACTTTTCACCTCAAAACCCATTAAAACACTTTTTAAAAGAGTAGTGATTTGCACATAATAGCAAAATATTATGTAATTATTTGCCTTCATCACTTATTATTTAATTGATTCATAGAGTTATTGTTCGCAGAACGACATTTTCTTCACAAACTGAAGGAAGAATACAGAACTTGTAAAGGAAACCTAGTTAGATTATGTACATGCTATGCACAATGTTGGGCAAACAAGATCAAGAAGGATATAAAAGCAAAGGAAAAGGTCAAATATTCAAATAGTTTCTTTCAACACCACCTTTAAATTTCACTTGGTTGCCCATGCTTGAGATAACACTCCTAATAGATTGTCAGTGTTCATTTTTGAAGACGCTAGTGTTATTACATTTTCTACAATAAATGTGCTTTGTAAGAGCACATTCTCCTCACTGTTGCTAAGGTGGTGTTAGAAATTATTCCCATTATGAAGAGAGACTAGATAAAATTATGGCTTTCTTTTACCTGAAGTGTAAATAGCATGGGTGACATGTTGTGATCTTCAGATGAAAGGCTGTACTGTATGGTAAACAGCAACAAACTCATCACTGGTCAGTGACAGGTCAACTAAAGGACACACAATTAAGAACATGATGCAGAAATTGAGGAAGTGGTAGAAACCAAGGCAAACATGACGAAGAAGAACAAGAACAATCAGGGAAACGTCACTGAAAAGAACAGGGGAGGTGATCAGAAATACATGTATTTCAATGCAATAAGTTTAATCGGTAAGGTAGATGAACTCAGAGCTTTGGTTAGTACTTGGAACTATGGCATTATTACAATTAGAGACACTTGGCTGAAAGAGGGACAGGACTGGCAGCTGAATGTCCCAGGGATTTAGATGTTTCAGGTGTGACAGAAGGAGATGCAAAATGGGTGGGGAGTTGAATTACTGGTAAAGGAGTATGTCACTGCTGTACGGACGGAGGATACATCAGACGACTCATGTGGGGTGGCAATATGGCTAGAAGTCAGGAATAGAAAAGGTGAAATCACCATGCTGGGGGGTATACTATAGGCCTCCCAACAGCCAGTGGGAGATAGAGGAGAGAGTATGTAGGCAGATTTTGCAAAGATATAAAAACAACAGTGCTGTTGTGGTGGACAATTTTAACTTCCCCTATATTGATTGGGTCTCGCTTCAGCTAGGAGCTTAGATGGGACAGAATTTGTAAGGACCATTCAGGAGGGTTTCTTGACACAGTACGTAAACAGTCCAACCAGGGAAGGGGTTATACCAGACCTGATTTTGGGAAATGAGCCCAGCCAAGTAAGCGAAGTCAGTGGGGGAGCATTTCGGGAGTAGTGACAATGATACTGTGAGTTTTAAGGTACTCATGGATAGGGACAGCAGCAGTCCTTGGGTGAATTTGTTAAATTGGGGCAAGGTGACCTACAACAATATTAGGCAGAATTTTGATTGGAGGTGGCTGTTTGAGGATAAATCTACATCAGTTACGTGGGAGTAATTCAAACAGCAGTTGATAAGAGTTCAGGAGTGGCCCGTTCCTGCGAGATTGAAGGATAGGTATGGCAAGTTCTGTGAACCTTGCATGACCAGGGATGTTATGATCTTGGTCAAAAAGATAAAAGAAACTGACAAAAGGTTTAGGAGGATGCGAACTAATGAAGACCTTGAAGCATTTAAGGAAAGTAGCAAAGAACTTAAAACAAGGAATTAGAAGGGCTAAAAAGGGTCATGAGAAGTCATTAGCAAAACAGAATTATGGAAAACATATATAAAAAGCAAGGAGGGAGCCAGGGAAAGGGTTGATCCACTCAAGGATAAAGGAGGGAATCTATGTGTGGAGCCAGAAGAGGTAGGTGAGGTCCGAAATGAATACTTTATGTTGGTATTCACCAAAGAGAAGGAAGGAATTGGTGAAGGATGATCTCTGGGAAGGGAATGTCAAATTTCTTAGTCAAGTTCCTATTAAAAAGGAAGAGGTGTTGTGGGTCTTAAAAAGTATTAAGGTAGGTAGGTCTCCAGGTCCTGGTGTGATATATCCCAGAATACTGAGGGAGGCAAGGTAACAAATTTCTGGAGCACTGACTGACATTTTTGCCTCCTCTTTGGCCACAGGTGATGTCCCAGAGGACTGGAGAATAGCCAAAGTAATTCCATTGGTTAAAAAGGGATAGCAGTGATAATCCGGAAATTACAGACCTGTGAGCGTCACATCAGTGGTAGGGAAATTTTTGGAAAAGATTCTCAGGGACAAGATATATGTGCATTTAGAAATGAATGGACTTATTAACAATAAACAGCATGGTTTCGTGCAGGGAAGGTTATGCCTCACTAACTTGATCGTGTTTTTTGAGGTGGTGACGAAGATGGTTGATGAGGGAAAAGCCGTTGATGTCGTCTACGTGGACTTCAGTGAAGCCTTTTACAAGGTTCTACATGGCAGACTGGTATAAGGGAAAGTCACATGGTATTGGGATGAGCTAGCAAGATGGATACAGAACTGGCTTAGTCATAGGAGATAGAGGGTAGCAGTGGAAGGATGCTTTTCAGAATGGAGGTTTATGACTAATAGTGTTCCACAGGGATCAGTACTGGGACCTCTGCTGTTTGTGGTCTACATAAATAATTTGGAGGAAAACCTAGCTGGTGTAATTACTAAGTCTGCAAATGATACAAAGGTTGGCGAAGTTGAGGACAGTGAGGAGGGTTGTCAGACGTTCAGTAAGATATAGATCAGTTGGAGGCATGGGCAGAAAAATGGCACATGGAGTTTAATCCAAACAAATGTGAGGTGATGCATTTCAGAAGGTCAGGTACAGGTGGAAATTATACAGTGAATGGCAGAACCCTCAGGAGTACTGATATGCAGAGGGATCTGGATGTACAGTCCACAGATCATTGAAGGTGACAGCGCAGGTGGATAAGGTAGTGAAAAAGGCCTATGGCATGCTTGCTTTCATTGGAAGGGGCATGAAGTACAAGGATAGGCAAGTTATACTGCAGCTTTATAGAACTTTAGTTAGGCCACACTTGGAATATTGCATACAGTTCTGGTCACTACACTACCAG